GCAGCCTTTATTGGACATTGATCTTTCAGCAAAGTGCAGTTACATTTTCCATTAATTTACAGTAACATAGTTTAACTCTGATACCCTAGACTGTTGACCCAGGTGAGATGTAATGCTAAGTACTTGTTTAGGTTAAGATGCTCCCAAACGTCATTACCTCATTACTGTCTCAATGCTGTGTGCTGAATATAGGAGATACCTGATCTGCTAGCATTAGGGTAAGGTTTCTGTTATCTGCATTAACTTTCAAGTGAAGTGAAATGAAGATCCTTGTCTTTGATGTCATCCCACACACTTAGACATCATTACTCTTTAATAGACCTAAAAGGCATTTTATGAAGATTTGTAGATGTGCTGTATCTGTGGTTCTGGGTGAACGTAAATATAAATGACATGAGATAAAATGTTCTAACAATACACATGGGTTTAAATTTTTAAAATTTTTATTACTGATGTGTGGGGGTCAGAGGACAGCTTTATGGAATTGGTTTTCTCCTTCCACCTTTATATGGGTTCTGGGGATTGAACTCAGGTCACCAGGCTTTGCAGGGCAAGTGTCTTTATCTATTGAACTATCTCACTAGCCCTCCATATGACTTTTTAATAATTAAAAAGTATTTCGATTTTTATTGGTGTCAACAATGAGCAGAACATTATGTTAGTAGTCAAATATGTGACAAAAGAAATAAAAAATAGTGTTATGAGGACATCAGCACTGAGAAAGTGGGGACTTTTATAGTTTTCTTAAGATTTATTTTTATTTTACCTGTACAAGTGTCTTATGCAGCACTCATGAAGGCCAGAATAGGGTATCTGATTTCCTGGAACTGGAGTTACTGATGATCGTTAGTCTTCATGTGGGTTCTGGGAATCAAACCTGGGTCCTCTGGAAGACCACTAAGTGCTCTTAACCCCAAAGCCATCCCTCTAGCCCCAGAGCTATTTATTGTTTTCTTTTAATATCAGAAATATCTTTCATACTCCCAAGTATGTTGATGTCTCTTAAGGCAGCAATTCACAGTTTACATAAAAACTAAGAACTTTACCTAGAAATTTCTTCTAGCATTTCATAATTGATATGTGTAGAAATGAGAAGAGAGTAAGGTGTGCCAAACATTACATCTTCACTAAATGTTATGCCTGGGTTAATATGTCTTTATTGTTGCTGTATTATATCTATCTATCTATCTATCTATCTACCTATCTATCCTATCATCGATCTAGTTTGTAGGCTCTGGAGAAATGCTTCCACAGTTAAGAATGTTTATTGCTCTTTCAAAGGACATGAATTTGGTTCCTGGCACCCATTTAGGTGAATCATAATTACCTGTGTCTCCAGCTCCAGGGGATTTGACACCTTTTCTGGCCTCTGTGGGAACCTGCATACATGTCATACACACACGCACACGTGCGCGCACACACACAGACATACAGAGTTTTATTTGTATATAATGAAGTTTTGTGTGTGTATATATAAACTTTATATATATACTACATACATGTGTGTATATGTGTATATATAATGTAGAAAGACAGAGAATGTTAGCATAGTAGCCCCATCCTTTTCCCCTTCCCCTCCCTCTTTTGAGTATCTTCTCCCATTAATTCCCTTTAATGCCCTAGACAATTTCACTTCATTTATATATCCATGATTCATGTTACCATATAAAGTCTAGAAACCATAAATGAGAGAATGTATATGTCTGATAATGGCTTCAGTTAATGATCATCCAGTTGCATCCATGTTCCTGAAAATGACGCAATTGTATTCTTTGTCACAAGACTGGATACTGTTAAATATAAACTGCATTAGGGAACTGCAGGTAGGAAATCTTGGCCTATGGTTTTATAAATCAAGAAGGGTAGGGTCCATTTGATTTCTCTTTGCTGCATTACCGCGCCAGCGCGGGCTGGAACCAAGAGTCTCGGCGGAGGGTGTCCAGGTTGAATGAATTCACAGAGCACGAGGTTGAGGTGGAACAGCTTCTTTATTGTTCTGCTGGGGCTAACTTTTATACCATGGCACCAAATGGGGAGGGGGCTGCGAAGGGACTGTCACCTGACCCCAGCAGGGATCAAGGAATGATCACGTGCACTCAAACTTCCTTTCCCAACTCCAGGAGCAGAGGGAAGTTATTATGTTTTCTTTGCAGATAAGCACCTCAAATGGGGGCAGGGATATGTAACTTAAGGCTACAATTCCCACACTGCATTAGGTTAGTGGGTGTGGGCAAATATGCACTCACTGCCTTCAGTTTCTCTCCCTCTTTCCTTCTCACCTTACTTTTGAAATCCTTCTATTGGTGAAACCCTTTATAAATAAAAGGCAGAAAAATGTGTTAGAAAAACAGACTTTTAATTGGGACAAAAGTAAAATGCGTGCTAAAAAGGATAATCATGATACATCCTTTTAAAAAACCTTTTATTTTACAAAACAAATTGTGTGTGTGTGTGTGTGTGTGACTCTGTGTTACACACGTGTCCATGTGTGAATGTCAGAGGGCTGCTCCATGGAGCTGGTTCTGTTCTTCCATCCTTACATGCTTTCCTGGGATCAAACTCAGGCTGCCAGGTTTGCATGGCAAGTGCTTTTACCTGGCAAGACATCTTCCCAGAGTCATGATACATCTTCAGGTGGAAAGGTCCCTTGTTCTTCTCAGTTTACAGGTAGAAAAAATGCCTTAAGGCAAAAGACAACATTGAAGCCAAAAATAGACTCAATCTCCTGGCTTCTTAGATTTACACTCTAATCCTTCTGGGCTACAATGTTTTTCTACAATAGGCAACATTCAAGAAAAGAAAATAAAGAAGGAAGGAAGAAAAAAGAAAAAAGGAGGGAGGGAAGAAAGAAAGAGGAAGAAAGGAAGGAAAGAAGGAAGGAAGGATGGAAGGAAGAAAAAACAAAAAATGAAAATGTTTATTGTTTCTTAGGAAGCAAGTTTCATAACAAAAGATTCATTACAAGGTTTATAAATCCAATGAATTATATTTTATTTTTTGAGCTCTGGCCCTAGCCATCACTGGTTCATCCTTCACTGCGATTAACTTCACGTGAGCAAGAGGTCTATTGATTTCCATGTAATACAAGAAAATATTACATTTGCTTAATTGTTACACAGCAAACACACCAGACAAGAAATCAAGGCTCTATTTAATGCAGCAGCAGCAGCAGAGAATTACAGAGATCAATAGGGTAGTTTGTCAAAGATGTTCTCCTAGGAGACTTACCTATCGCCATGCGGACAAGAAGTCACACTGACTACAGTTATCGAAAAACAGGTAAGCAGAGTCAGCAGTACAGATTATCAGAAATCAAACAGGCCAGTGTGAAAAGAGGTACAACTGGATTGAAAAGCTGTATTTACGGTCTGGTAATTAAAAACTATTTTATCAACCTTGTGTTGAGACCAAACCTTTACGGCATGTATTGACATGATCAGCAGCAGTGAATGAGCAGTATTTGACTTAAAACTTATGAGCTATAGTTATTTAACACTGTCCTTACAGAGGAAATCAGTTCTAGCCTTCTTTGCAAAATGCTAATAGTTGTTTTTATTATTAATGAAGCTTAATGCAACACCATCTTCTTTGGGCAAGCCATTCATTTAACTAGTGTCAAGCATATTTTCTGGACTAAATACACTGGCATAAGTACTTCTTTGATTAAAGTGTTACTTAGAATTGTGTTTAGACGAGTAAACAATCATATATTAGTACAGTTCCTTATCTGTAGCACATTGGAAATGACTACATTTGAGGGGCCATTTGTATGACTTTGTTATCCTGATGGCTTCACTTAGGAAGTTCACTCTCTATTAACTTGCTGGAAATAACATCCAAATGTTGGTTAGGTGAAACTGTGTAAATTGTTTTCCTACAAAAATGTGTAAACACTGCACTACCAGCAACACATTAACATAAAATGCTATATAATATGTTGTAATTACGAAGTGATCATAAATCTTAAATACCCATTGGCTTAGAAATTAAATAGTCCTACTTAGTTCTCCCTAAATTACTCCAAATTTCGGAAATTTACCATTCGTCTGGGTATTTTGTGACTATCTCCAAGGATAAATTTTTTTTAATGACTTTGCTTTCAACAACGCAATTAGTTTAATAAAATTCTAATGCAAAAGTGCTATCAGGTTTTAAAAATTTCAGCGCACTCCCAGTGGTCAGTAGATCTGTGGATAGATGCCATTTCAGTTCAATGTTTTTATAGACAGCTGGCAAACTCATTCTTTCTGGGGCTTTCTAGACCTTAACTTTCTTATAGGTTTGTAGTATATCATTTTTTAACTTATTACTAATGAGTATCAATTTCATTCACCTTGTTGCGTTTACACTGACAAGAGCTATAACTACATTAAGTACTATGGAATTGCCTTTGTTGTTGTTAGGGTTTCATGCTGCCCAGGCTGATGCTGAAAATGCCCTACAGCTGAATGAATTGACTTCCTGGCCTTCCTGCCTATACTTCCCCAGTGCTGGGATCACAGGAGTACAACTGCTCTTCATTCCGACCACTCAGTCCAGATAAATAGTATAAACGCTTAAAAAACAAACAAACAAACAAAAATCACTACCAAGCAAAATCTTAACACCTGGATGCTTACGCTTCAGTCGCAATCAGACTCTTACCTATTTTGACCCGTCAATGACACCATATCATCTCCACTAAGTATTCACCATCATTTCCTTTTCCACCACACTATATTCCCCCATTTCCACCACGATTTTCTCCTTTTGTGAAGATAGCTGTGTTTTTTCTTCAGAGTTAATTTAAACTGCTAATATCCAGCCTTAGAATCTGTGTTCCTTCACTCATTTTTACCTGTAGTTTAATCTTGTTCTTAGGGAAACAGGAGTAAAGTCGCATGTGTTTGTAGTTCCCATTAGCTAGACGATACAAAATACGTAATAATGTAGAAAAAACTTCTCTCTAGGGAATGGTGACTCACCTTAAATCACACACACACACCATAGAAAGACAAAGGTGTTTGCCGGCATTTTATTTTAAAGAATCAAAAATAAATATTTCACACACACATGCTTGGAACAAATTCATTGACATTTGTATTTTCCAATACACATTTTCAATACATGGCACCTTCATCTTCTTTATTTAGAAAATAGATTGTTATTGGTCCGTAACTGGTATGAACAGTCTCTGTGACTCTGGCAAATAACCAGGAGCCAAGTCCATATAATAAAGTTGGAATACCTAGAAAATAAATGAATATATTACATGAGAAGAGCAGTACCTATTAATCATGTACTAACATGTCATGTTACTGATCATGTAAACAGTCTTCAGCAGTATTGACATAAAGTTATAGACACAGAAATATGACTAGATGCTCACTATGATTACTGAAGAGCTGGACTTTATCTCTGTGGGACATAGTGGCAATTATGTGAGCCTAGATTTTTAAAACCATAGATGAGACTGATATAAACTTTAATGCAGAGCACTTGCTTAATTCATTATCTTCAATTAATTATGAAGTAATTTTATATTCTCACAAATAAGCAGAAAAGAGTATTCATTAATTTGGTTGTAAATGTCCCTATTTGCTTGAAGCTAAATTTACTAGGTCCACTTTGTTGTTCTGTAAATTAGATAGGAATACTGATGGATAAAGAAATTTTTGTTCAACTAAGAAGCTGGTCAAACAATTATTTTCAAAATCTAAAGCAAAATATAACTTTTAGGAATATTTTAGTGTACCTGGCACGACAAAGAACACTCTCATTATTTTGTAATTGGTTGAAAACAATCTTGTTTCACCTTATCTACATGGTTTCCAAAATTCTCTCTCTTTCAAGATTGCCATTAATAAGGTTTCCCTGTTTTATTTGAGATTAACTGTTGCATGTAATATATCAAACTGAACATATACTACCCAGAAATATGGATTCATATGCATATGATGCTATGCTAAATGCAAAACAGTCTTCCAGAATTCTTAACTTTTAAGGCACTTATTTAAAATCAATGACTATTAACATATTAAAAACACACTGCATATATATATGTGTGTGTGTATAAAACCACAGGCACACAGATCAAAAACAAATATTGTAGGCTCTACACAAGTATTAATTTTATTGCTTCCATGTGGGAAATGGACAGAAAGAAGCAATTCAAAATGATAACTGCTCATTTGGAAAATCTCTTTCTAGTTAATAGAGAAACCAACACACATTCAACACTGATCGTACTGCTGATTTTTCTTCCTTTCCTGCAGAAATAGCCTCACTGTGTTATGCTCCCTTTGGACCTGTTTTGGAGTACTCTGTCCTCTGTTAGCTCTGGCGAACAGGAGACTTCACCAGCTGGCAATGAGACGGTGGGCTGAAGAGACAGGGGTCTCTTGTTCAGGTCCTTCTCTGCTTTTAGGAACATACCAGGTTACAATTTGTAATTTATCACCACAGAATCCCCTGGCGCTCCCAGAGAACTTTCTACAGTATACTTCTGTCTTTGCCTCATTGTGCCCCAAAGAATCTCAAATGTTTCAAGGGGCAAAAACAAATCCTCAAAAACTACAATAATAAAGCTATTTGCAAATCATTCATCCAAAAAGATAAGATAAAAAGAAACAGAAAATCAAGCGGTATGCGGTGGGAAGGCAGGCTAATAAGGTAAGGCAAATGTAAAAGAGGAATGTGTGGTACAGGTTGAAATAATAAAAAAAAATGAATTCCAACATGACACTACCACTCCAAAATCTGAAAACCAATGGGATGAGGAATTTAAAAGGGCCTTTGAAGCAATCATTAGTTTTCTATACATACTGAGAGTAAGTAGACACAAGGTACCTTCCAAACCAACACTAAGAGTGGAGTGTAAGGAATGGTAGTGACCCTGAGAGTTATTTTTTATGGTGTTTATCACAGCTTTAAGTTAAATACTACTTTAAAATGTATACTTTTGAAAACAAATCACACAAATAAATGTCCCCCATTAATAAAGAACTAATTATTACTAGTTAATAATAAGCCCATGAAGAAACCATTATCAGTCATGCTTACTGACAGGAGTCAGAGTTGATAAGGGAGTCAGAAATTCTCTGTTGGAATGAATTGAGTTTTCTGTATTTTTTTTCCACCCTAGAATGCAGAGAATAATGCAATAACAAGGAAGATTGGTTGCCTCTATACTTTACAGATTAAAAAAATTATATGTGTCAAAATCAAAATCTTTAAGATTCTATGAAAAAAATTTCAGACTACCAGAGACAGAGAACATCAAAATGAACTTCAAAACAGTTCTTTGTATTAATAATTCATTTTGAGTTAACTGAACGGTAGGTAAACTATTGTCGAATTAGGCACTAAGAACAACTAGAACTTTGTAGTAAGGCTTCTATTACTCATTTATTCCAAGTGTAAGTTGCTTTTCTTAAATCTTAATTTATTTCCCAGCAGGATACTTAGGCTGATAAACCATCAGCAAAATGTTGGTTCTGTGGAAGGGAAGGTGGGGAGGAAAGGGAAAATGAGTAAATAGAAATCCTTATTTACAAAACAGAAAATGAATTATTCTGATTACTACTCATTTAGAAGGGAGGACGAGGAATAAAATCGTTTGTATTCTTATTACTGACTAAGGACTTGATGATCCAGAGGGGCAAACTGTACATCACAGACTAGGATCCTATTACTTAATTTACATTTCCCTTAGTTGAGACAAAAAAAAAATGCAAAATAAGTATTACTACACTGGTAAAAAGCCCAGAAAAACATTTCAGAGTAAGTCAATTGTACTGAAGCACGCAGGAACAGGGTCTCTCTTGGCTGCACTTCGAACTCTTCTTCCCATTCAAAGCTGCATTTTTTTAAGAATTTCTAGAAGCCCCCAGACTATTAAATTGCTCTTCCCCATTAAAAGACAAACAAAAATCACCCCCACATCTGTTGGTTTTTAGGAAGGATTTTATTTTTCTATGTGGGACTGTGAATTTTTTTCTTCTTTTGGTGTCTTAATGACTGACACCTGAAAGAGAGCCCGTAATCATGACTGGTATCTTAAAGGAAATGTGACATTTAAATACAGGACTCGGTCTATTCAGTTACCCTGTCCCTCGGCCTTACAGCTTTCCTAACTACCACTCCATACTTGGAAAAGAAGGATTCCTACTGATCCTGAAAGTGCTAACCACAAACTCATTTTCACAACTAGTTAGCACTCCAGTTCTCCCACATACTTCCAGGCTCAAGTTTCTAAATCATCTCATAGCAACTTTACACTAACCTCAGAAGTAGGGGCCATAGCTCTGTGTAGTCCGTCAGCCAAGTAAAGAGACATTTTAAAAGGATTATATATATTGTTGTATAATCTCCTTCCTAGATTAAGCCCACGGCAGTGCCAGTGGGACAAAAATCCCATTGGTGACATATGAGTTATAAGCAACAGTGACCGTGCTTATTTAATTTAATGAACTATTGGATTATATATAATACTAGAACAGCTGTACAGTTTAGTGTAATTTTGGATAAAAAAATAAAAACTATTTGGGTTATACTGATTCGGCTTCCTTGTGTAGAGTTTGAGTGACTGAAATCGAAATCTAAATTAATTTTTTAGTAGCTATTAATAGGCCCGAAACATCTCGAGGGCTTGTATTTTTCCCTAATCTATAAAATGTTATCACATCTACGATCCATGATATTGACCTGCTGCTACACCAAAAGAACATGGACATCTACCGGGAGGAGACACAGCCAGAATTAGATTGCCAGGAACACAAGTTCTGAGGAGGCAGCCTCTCTCAAATGCCTTTTTAAATCTAGCGCCCGAGAAAACTATGATGCCTGGAGAGAACCTACTGCTCTTAGCAAAACACACTCGCTGAGATTTCACATAAAGAAGACAAAGAAACTTTAAAAGTCCGTCCAGTTTTGTCCTCCAAAGGCTCCCAGTGACGAGCGCGGGAAAGACTCCTGCTCAGCAACTTCAGGGCCACTGTCCAAGTGGGGGCGTTTCCTGACTCTCTTCTCGCTGCCTAAGGCAGGGTCCTCCTGCGTGGACAGTGGCAGGGGCACGACCTCAGGGGTGATGCAGGCAGCCCGCCGGGCCCGAGCAGCGTGCCTGGGGACCAGCAACCGCCCGCCGGGCCGGAGGAGTGCCCGGGTCAGGCGAGGGCACCGCCACTCACCCAGATTGATGACCTTGAGAGCCGTGAAGAAGCGGTTCTGCGGGGCCAGGTCCTGCCAAGGCGCTTTGGAGCAGTGGTACTTGATGAAGGGGAAGCAGCCGGTGCGCAGGACGTGGTAGTTGGCGCCCGCCACGGGCCAGTTGAAGTGCGACAGGCCAAACTGGTCGTTGTGGACCGCGCTGTAGGGCACGCAGAAGGAGGTCCAGTGCGGCAGGCGCCGCTGCAGCAGGTGCTGCGTCAGCACCTCCGAGGCGCGGGGTTTCGGGCTGGAGGCGGCGCCCACGGCCCAGGGCCTGCACAGCAGCAGCCGCAGCGCGGCCTCGTGGGCCCTCCGC